CCGCCCCGTTCGAGTCCAGAACCAGCCCGGAAGAGGCTCGCCGAGGGGCTGCCCGAGCTCCTGTCCAGCCTCACCTGGCAGGCAACGGGCCACGGGCTCACCTGGACGAGGAGCTGCTGGCTGGAGGGCCTCCGCTCCCCAGTAAGCTGGCCAGGCCTGGCCCGGTCAGGGCCCCGAGCCCCCCTGCGGGGACCAAGCACACGGGGTCAGGGAAGGGCCACCCGGACCCTGGCCCCAGCCCAAGGGCGGGCAGGCGGCCCAGGCTCCCGCTGGAGTCCACCGCCGGCTCTGCCCCAGCCCACGCCCCGGCTGCCCCCTCCCCAACACGAGCAGGCGGAAGCCCCAAGCCCGGCCCTCCTGGGCCCGCCCCACACACCCCACGCGCCCCACGTGCCCCACCCGCCCCACGCACCCAGCCCTCCGAGGCCGGCGGGTCCGATGAGCTGCATGAGCTGGCTGTGGCTCATGTTCCCCAGCAGGCTCTGCAGGCCGCCCTCACCTGCAGGACACGGGGCTCAGCCGCGGCACCCCCCCCCGCCCGGCCCGCCCCTCACCTGCAGGACACGGGGCTCAGCCGCGGCACCCCCCCCGCCCGCCCCGCCCCTCACCTGCAGGACACGGGGCTCAGCCGCGGCACCCCCCCGCCCCTCACCTGCAGGACACGGGGCTCAGCCGCGGCACCCCCCCCCCCCCGCCCGCCCCGCCCGGCCGCCGCGGGGACGTTACCGCCCAGGGCCGAGAGCTCGTGGCCGCTGCCCCCGCTCGCGCCCAGCGCCCCAGGCAGCGGGGGGTTGTTGAGGCACTCGTTCACCTTCCGGCAGTGCTCCTCGTCCTGGTCCGCCTTGGGCTCCTGCGGGCAGCACACGGGTGGCCAGGGCCGGCGAGGAGCCCACGACCACGGCCACCCGGCCGGCACGGGCGCCCCTGCACACGGGCATGGGTAAGCAGCCCACGGCCACGGCACCCGGCCGGCACGGGCGCCCCTGCACACGGGCATGGGTAAGCAGCCCACGGCCACGTCCATCCGGCCGGCACGGGCATGGGTGAGGAGCCCACGGCCACGGCCACGGCCGGCACGGGCGCCCCTGCACGCAGGGCCGGGGCCCCGAGGGCACCTGGCAGCACAGCCCCGGCCCCACGCTGGAAGGCCCCTGGAGGGTCCCGGCCGCCCACAGAGCTGACGGCTCTCACCCTGGGCCTGGCAGACGGGGGCTTGTGCCGCGCGCTCCCGCCAGGGCCCAGCGCTTCCCGACGGAGCCGAGCCGGGGACGCGCAGCGCACACGGCCCCACCGGGCCGCGGCCACGCCCACTCGCCCTCCCGCCTCCCTGGCCCAGCTCAGGCCGGGGGCGGACACCACTCGGAGCGCAAGGCGCCCCTGCCCCTGGTGGGGGGCCCTGGCCGAGCCCGCGGCGCCCCCGCCCGCCCGGCCTCCGACGCACCTGCATCCAGAAGAACAGGCGCTTGGAGCCGGCCTTGAACTTGAGCACGTAGACGCGCCCGCTGGGGCACTGCGGCACGCGCTTGAACTCGCAGTCGTCGGGGAAGATGATGAGGTCCTGGCCGCGGGGAGGGCGTCAGCGCGGCAGGCCGCGCCCGGCGCCCCCGCGCCCCCGCCCGCCCCACCCCGCCCGCGCCCTCACGTCCTCCACGCTGCCCGACGTCCGGTCCTTCCAGCAGAAGTGGATGAGCGAGTCGTCCGTCTGCTGGATGTACACGAGCCCCTTCCGTTTGTCGGGGGTCACGGTGGTCCCCTTGAGCGACATCTTGCCGGCCCGGAACTCCACCAGGTACTTGCTGGAGGAGCCGCGGGAGCCGGGCACCAGGCTCGGGAACAGCGCGCCGGAGCTCGTCATCCTGAAAGACGCCCAGGCCGTCGCTCCGCGCCCCGCCGCGCCGGGCGTCGCCCCTCCGCGCCGGGCAGGCGCGCGCGGCGCCGAGCGGCCCCGAGAGCCCGGCCCGCCCCGGCCCCAGCGCCCGCCGCCCCGCGCCGCCCGGCCCTCGCACCTGGCCTGCACCCACACTCGGCCGCCGAGCGCCGTCCGGAGTCGCTCTTCCTCCTCGGTGCCTGCCGGGCCTCGCCGGAAGCCCGCGGTCGGCCCGCCCCGCCCGCCGCTCTCGCTGCCGATTGGGCCCCGTCAGCCGGGCAGCCCGCGCTGTCCCGCCACCGATTGGGTAGGAGGGCCGTCCGTCGCGAGCGCCCCGCCCCGGCCCGCCTCCGCGCCGGCGGCTCTCTTCCGGCGGAAGCGCGGGCCGCTGGGCGCGCGGGCCAGAGCGGCCCCTATTGTTGCTGTGTCATAGGGGCGCGGCGGCGGCCCCTGGCGGCGGCACTGGGAACCGCAGGCCCCGAGCCCACCTCTGGACGGTGTCACCCACGGGGGCGGCACCCAGGGGGCCGACGGAGGCCGCGATGAGGACAAACCTAAGGGCGTGGGAACCAGGGCGTCGCGCAAAAGCGCTCGTGGGGCTCAGCTCCTCGGGAACCCCCGGATAGGTGCTCGAACTCCTCGGGGGCTGCGGCCCGCCAGGTGCCCCGTGGAGCTGGGGGCGCCTTCTGGTGACATAAACGGCAGCCAAGGCAGCGAGGGAGCCCCAGGCTCCTGACCGTGCCCGGCGCACACAGCAGGGCTCCCAGAGGCCCTGTGACAGCCGCGGGTGTAGGCGGGCGCCCTCACCCTGCTCCGCGGTGGGTGCGCCGGCACCCCCGTCTCCCGCGTGGCAGTGCCTTGACCTGAGACGCAGCTCTGGGAAAACAGTCGTTTTTCGCTGAACATTTTATTTCACAATAAATATTTATTTTGAAATATTTATTTCAAAATAAAAGTGAGCTGATTATTTTTATGTACTTTTAGAGAATTTGAGAGGTGGCTACAGAGAGACAGACAGAGGTCTCCCATCCGCTGGTTCACTCCCCAAATCGCTGCAGCAGCTGGGGCTGGGCCAGGCCACAGCCAGGTCTCCCACGCGTGCGGGGCCCAGCACTAGGCCACCTCCCACCTCCCCTGCCTTCCCAGAAGCATCAGCAGGAAGCTGGATCGAAGTGGAGCAGCCGGGACTGGAACCCGTGCCCGTGTGGGCTGCCGGCACTGCAGGTGGAGGCTGCACTGCACCAGGGCACCGGCCCCTCCAGGCCTCCTGACTTCCTGTGCCCCTCCCCCCACCTCCTCTGGGCCCACCTCACAGTGCCTGGCCTTGCACCCAGCAGTGCTCTGGACGCAGGCCATGGTGTTCCCGAGATGTCGGCCTTGGACTGTGGCCGTCTCCCGGCATCGCTCCTGGCAGTGACCGGCAGACGTGGAACCTGCGGTCCTGAAAGCCTGCAGGGCGGTGGGGCTTCCAGCCGCCCCCCTGCCCCGTTCGGACAAGGACCGGGAGGCAGGTGGCCGGGGCACTGGCATCAGGCCTGCCCCAGGCCCCGGCAGCCGCCCCGGCTGTGCACCTGCTGGCCCTGCTGTGGCCGCTGCTCTCAGCAAAGCACAGGCGTCAGCTTTGGGGACAGGAGAGGGACAGCAGCAGCCACCAGCTCCGGCAGGCACTGCCCCTCACAGGCCCTGGCTGGCTTCCCGGTTCTCCGTGCAGGGCCACGCCAGCCCAGGCACACGGCCGCTTCCCTGCCAAGAGCACCGTCTCGGCGGAGCCCCGAGGGCCTTCGGGCGCCCTCCTCTGCCGAGGCCCCCGCAGGGCAGCAGTGCCGCTGGAGGCTCTGGTGCCTGGGCCGGCCTGGAGTGGCAAAGGCCGGCAGGGGCCGGGCCCGCCTCTCCACGCCGCCTCGTGGCCAGGCAGGCCCCAGCCAGACAGCAGAGACAGCCAAGCCGGGGCCACCTCTGGAGCAGTGTGGCCGCCACCCCCACGCCAGCTGCCGGCATCTCCCCAGCAGCCGCGAGCGCGGGAGCCGTGTCTCCACCGCGAGCTCTCCTGGGGCCGGCGGGAAACGGGCCTGGGGCCAGCGAGCTGGGCTCCAAGTGCGCCCAGGACACTGCGAGACACCAGGTTCTTTCCGGGAAGGGCCTGCACCCTCTTCGGTCTGTTGCAAGATGGCGCTCAGGGCGGTGAGGCCCTGTCCAGGCCCCGCCCACACGGGACAGTGGCTGAGCGCCGCCCACACGGGACAGTGGCTGAGCGCCTCTGCTGCTGGGGACATCGGACACTCGGCAGGTGCAAGGGTGGCGCTCAGGAGTGGCTTCTGTCCAAGGCTTCACTGATCGGAAGGGCAGGGAGGGGGCGGCACAGAGAGAGAGGCCCTCCTTCCACTGGCTCACTCCCCAGACGGCCGCAACGGCTGGGGCTGGGCCAGCAGCTCCGTCAGGGCCTCCCACGCGGTGCAGGGCCCAGGTATTTGGGCCACCATCCTCTGCCTCCCCAGGGGCATCAGCAGGGAGCTGGCGCGGAAGCAGAGCAGCTGGGACTCGAGTCACCGCCCTGGTGTGGAAGCCAGCATCGCAGACAGCGGCACCAGGACACAGTGCCAGGACCTGGCACCAGGACGTGGTGCCAGGATGCGGCACCAGGACCAGGACCCGGCACCAGGATACAGTGCCAGGATGCGGCACCAGGACGCAGTGCCAGGATGCGGCACCAGGACGCGGTCCAACAGCTCCTGGTGTGTTCACATTTGCAGCAGCAACAGAAAACCGTCATAAAAACTCGGAGCAGCCTTAGACGTGCCGTGTCTCACTCCCGGCTCGGGTGCACACGGAACTGGGGCTGCCGTGCGGCTGAGCAGCCCCGAGACCCCGCGAGCTGGGCCCCAGGCAGAAGCCGCCGCGGCGAAGCTTGCCTAGCTCGGGCCTCGGGCTCCTCTCGCGGCCTTCCTGGGCGAGGAGCCCGCACGCCGCCGTCTGAGCCAGGAGCCTCGGCCAGGTGCCCGGGGTCTGCCCAGCTCCCTGGTGCTCCCCAGTCTCCTCCCCACGGGACACCGGGGCGATGGCACAGAGCGCGGGGCTGAACCCGACACTGCCGCCGGCGTCCCAAGCTACAGAGACCAAGCCTTCCAAACACGTGTTCACTCCAAAAGTGTTTTAATTGCAAACGACACTGTGAAGAGTGGACAGCGACAGCGCCCTGCTGGGCTGGACAGCGACGATGCTGACAGCTGTGAGGTGGTGTGCCCGCACGTGCCCGCGTGTGATGCGTGTGCGTGCGTGTGCGCGTGCACACAGCAGGCTGCCTTGGTCCAGAGCTCCACCACCACCTATGGGGTCCACGCTGCTCCCTACACTCGGTTACGCGGTCAGGACGGCCGCCGGGACGGACGCAGCCGTGTGTGCTGGACACCTTTCATCACACCGGGTGAGACGCCGCTTCTGCCTCTCACACGGCACAGCACATGGCTGACATCGGACGCGTGCAGCCGGACACGGCGCGGAGTTTGCCAGAATCCCGTCCCCCGAGGGCAGCGTGGCCCACGGCGACAGGCGTGGCCGGAGCCCGGCCCCTCCCACTTGAGACGGCCCTGGGGACTTCCCAGGCAGCCCGAAGTGACCGCCGCAGGACTGCTGACACAGACTGACACCGCCCTGGAAAGCTCACCTGCCCGTCGCCAGGGCGGCCCCGGCCCAGCCTCGCTCGGGATCCACACCCGCGGGCGTCAGTTCACCTGTCCCACAGCTGTAGGGACGCGGCCCGCCGGCCGGCCGCTGCGCAAGGCCGCGCGAAGGCGCTGTCGCCGTCCACTCCCCGCCCGGGGGCGCCGGTGCAGCAGCGCGAGTGTCTGGCAAACGGGAGCTACCGGGAACGGCGGCCTCGGCCGGGCGGCGCCGGGGTCCACACTCGCGGGCGCCGGCCCAGGCCCCGCCCTCAGTAGATGTCCGGGCAGTCGGAGAAGTTGCGGTCAAAGTAATCGCCCGCGTACAGCCAGTCGGGCGTCCCGGTGTGGGGGTTGCTGCCCGGGTAGAACCACCTGCGGGCACAGACACGGTCACGGCAGGCGGGCGAGGGCACAGCTGCTCCTCACGCACAGCTGCTCCTCACACACAGCTGCTCCTCACACGCAGCTGCTCCTCACACACAGCTGCTCCTCACACAGCTGCTCCTCACACACACAGCTGCTCCTCACACACACAGCTGCTCCTCACGCACAGCTGCTCCTCACACACAGCTGCTTCACACACAGCTGCTCCTCACGCACAGCTGCTTCACACACAGCTGCTCCTCACACACACAGCTGCTTCACACATACAGCTGCTCCACACACACAGCTGCTCCTCACACATACAGCTGCTTCACACACACAGCTGCTCCACACACACATAGCTGCTCCTCACACACAGCTGCTCCTCACACACAGCTGCTCCTCACACACACAGCTGCTCCTCACACAGCTGCTCCTCACGCACAGCTGCTCCTCACACACACAGCTGCTTCACACACACAGCTGCTCCACACACACACAGCTGCTCCTCACACACAGCTGCTCCTCACACACAGCTGCTCCTCACACACACAGCTGCTCCTCACACAGCTGCTCCTCACGCACAGCTGCTCCTCACACACAGCTGCTCCTCACACACAGCTGCTCCTCACGCACAGCTGCTCCTCACGCACAGCTGCTCCTCACACGCACAACTGCTCCTCACGCACAGCTGCTCCTCACACGCACAGCTGCTCCTCACGCACAGCTGCTCCTCACACACAGCTGCTCCTCACACACACAGCTGCTCCTCACGCACAGCTGCTCCTCACACACAGCTGCTCCTCACACACTGCCTGCACGTCTGTTTTACTCCCCAGCAGGCCGTGACGGGTGAGGAGGGGCCGTGACCAGACTGTCCCTGCACGGCAGGCAGTGGCCACGCCGGGGGACCGGGGAGAGACCACAGGGCAGGTGCCAGGCTCGGTCCCCGCACTGCCCTGCGGCTGCACTAGAGCGGAGACGCCGGCCACTTCCAGCAGAGGGCGCGTGGGCCCGCAGGGTGGGAGCAAGGTTATCACGGCACTGAACACGCGGACACGCACACAGGACGGGCAACTGCGAACTCAAACCCCCGGGTGTCTGCGAGTGAACACAACAGCACACAGCTGGCAGCCTGGCGTGTCGTATATGATCCTGTCTCAGGGGTGTGTGTGTGTGTGTGTGTGTGGACTCTGTCTCAGGGGTGTGTGTGGGTGGGTGTGTACTCTGTCTCAGGGGTGTGTGTGTGTGGGTGTGTGTGGACTCTGTCTCAGGGGTGTGTGTGTGTGTGTGTGTGGACTCCGTCTGTCTCAGGGGTGTGTGTGTGTGGGTGTGTGTGGACTCTGTCTCAGGGGTGTGTGTGTGTGTGTGTGTGTGTGTGGATTCCGTCTGTCTCAGGGGTGTGTGTGTGTGGGTGTGTGTGGGTGGGTGTGGACTCTGTCCGCAGGTGGGCGAGGCCCTCCTAGCCCCCTCACCGTGTCCGCCACTCCGCCTCGTTCTTCGCGCGCTCCCTGCGGGCTTCTCTCTGCTTCTCTTCCAGCCTTTCCTTCTCCTGGCTGGCCAGATCTAGGTCAGCAAACCAACCCCGGTGAGCACCAGGCTGGGGCAGCCCGCCGGGGCAAGGCGCACCTGCTGGCCGCGGGCTGCAGCCCACCCTCGTGAAAGCCCGCACCGGAGACGCCTGGGCGCCGGGCACGGGGCAAGGCTCGACCGCACGCTCCCGAGACGGTGAAGCAGCCAAGCCCACGGGTGCACCCAGGAGCCACCGCTCCCAGCCCGAGACGCGCTGACCCCAACACAGAGCAGGATGGGTTCTGAACGTGGGAGGTGGGCGTCCGCGACCTGACTGGACCCTCCTGCCTCCCGAGCTCGCCCCGCGGACGTCGCTTTCTGGAGTAGCAAATGCACCCCGGAAGGAAGCCCAGGACACGAGACCTGCGTCCCCGGCGTGGAGCTCTGTGCTGACAGAGGCTGGGTCAGCAAGCAAGGAGCAGCCCGTCTGCCACATCAGAAGCCGGCCACTGACACACGTGGTGCACGCTCAGAGCGCCACGCGGGGCCAGCGCACGGCTTCACTGGCAACAGCTGTGGGGAGCGGCCGGGCACTGACGGCCGACCCGGCTCCAGGGGACAAGCGCAGCCTGGGGACGTCGGCTGACGCCCTCGGCCGTGCTGTCCATGTAGGGCCTGCACCGCGGCCACACGCTGGGCTCACAAAGGGTGGGTCTGCGGCGTGGGGGGGGGGCCCGGCGCTCACCCATGTCGCCGTCCTCCATGCCTCGGATGTCAGGGCGCAGGCGGCAGTCCGTGGGGGGCAGGGTCTTCTCCATGCCCGTCTGCAGCTCGTTGAGGCTCACGGTGAAGCTGGTGAAGTTGTACATCTGCAGGGAGGCCCCGGGCATGACCACAGCCGCCGGCGCCGCCCGGCGCCGCCCGCCACCGCCCGCCACTGCCCACCACCGCCCGCCACTCATGATCTGAGCCCAGGCGCTAAACCTCATCGCTCCTGCCAGGGCCACCTGCGTCCTGCTGTGCAACCTCCGCCCCCCTGCTGCCCGCACCCCCTGCTGGCCCCCTGGCCTCCACCTGCCTCGGGGCACGGCAGTGGCTGTGCCGGGACACACAGCTGCTTCTCCAGCCCAGACCCTGGCGCTGACTTCCGACACCTGTCCCCTCGGCACTCGGGATGTCCGAGGGGAATCTGGGAATCTCTCACGCCACACCACAGCCTGCCGCAGCAGCTTCCGGGGGCCCTGGCTCCGCCCCCGCCCGCCCCCGCAGCTCTGCCAGAATTCAGCCGCACACAGCTGGGCTCCGCACTGCCCACTCCAGCCCCCAGCGCCCACCACTGCAGCACAGCACCTGTCCAGGTGCTGCTGTCCGTCCGCCGCCTGCTGCTGGTGCCGGCTGGTGCCGGCTGGTGCCGGCTGGGCCGAGGGCCTCACAGCCCTGTCCTCCGGGTCCGCTCCCGGCACGCTGGCCCAGCCACAGCCGGCAGGCAGCAGGGACTCAATAAATAGACTGACCCCCTGGGCAAGGGAGTGAGTGCTCTCCTCAGAAAGATTTCCTTGAGAAAAACATAATAAGCTAATTTTTCTAAAATAGAAATGGGGTCTGTGTTGTGGCGTAACGGGTTAAGCCTCCTCCTGCAGGGCCAGCATCCCACGTGGGCACAGGTTCAAGTCCCGGCCGCTCCACTGCCCATCCAGCTCCCTCTTAGTGCCCCTGGGAAAGCAGTGGAGGATGGCCCAAGCGCTGGGGCCCCTGCACCCACGTGGGAGACCTGGAGGAAGCTCCTGGCTCCTGGCTCCCTCCAGGCAGAGCCGGCCGTTGTGGTCATTTGGGGAGTGAACCGGCAGGTGGAAGACCTCCCGCCCTCCCTAACTCTGCCTTTCAGTGGAAGAAGTCAATCTCTGTGGTCCCACCGTGACGCCGGCTCATTCCCTGCTCCAATGACCACAGTCAAGACCAGCGCTGGGTCTGAGTCCTGGCTGCTGTCTCCAGGCCAGGGGGCCCACGTGCCTGGGCCCTGCCAGCTGCACAGGAGACCGCGTGGAGGTCCTGGCCCGCCAGCCTGGCCCGGCCCTGGCCGCTGTGGCCACCTGGAGGACGGAAGCGCTGTCTCTCCTGCACGCTCCGTCACTCTGCCTCCCACTGGGGGGGGGGCCGTCTCACAGGCGAATATTCTGGTTCCTTCATCTTGCTCATGCAGCACCGTGAAAACTTGGTAATAAACTCTACCTCTCACACAAAGTGTGACTTACAGGAAATCAAAACGTGACATCACAGGTCGTGCCGGGTACCATGTTGTTCATGTGCTGTTTATAACACATAACTTTTAATGCACAGAATCACACGTAAGGAATTATAACCACAAGTTTTCTTTTCTCTCTTTTTTTTTTTTTTTTTTTGACAGGCAGAGTAGACAGTGAGAGAGAAAGGTCTTCCTTTTGCCGTTGGTTCACCCCCCCAATGGCCGCTGCGGCAGGCGCACCACACTGATCTGCAGCCAGGAGCCAGGTGCTTCTCCTGGTCTCCCATGGGGTGCAGGGCCCAAGCACCTGGGCCATCCTCCACTGCACTCCCGGGCCACAGCAGAGAGCTGGCCTGGAAGAGGGGCAACCGGGACAGAATCCGGCGCCCCAACCGGGACTAGAACCCCGAGTGCTGGCGCCGCAGGCAGAGGATTAGCCTAGTGAGCCGCGGCACCGGCCACAGAAGTTTTCAAAGCTAAATTTCACCGTGCAGTTGTGGCACTCAAGCAACAAGGCAGGAAGGGGCCTCCCCTCCCACGGGCCGCGGCTCTGTGGCAAGCAGCAGTGGTGCCAGCCTTGGAGGGCCCTGCCAGCGGCCTGCAGCTCAGGGCAGAGGACGAGGGCGCGTGTGGTGCCAGTGCCGAGGTGCACACCAGCAGGCACGAGCCGTGCACCTGTACAGGGACCCCGCACGGACGGCCAGGCCTGGGGTTCTGGTCTCATCAGGAACAGGCAACAGGCGGGCAGGTGCCAGGGGCTGAGCCGCAGGTACAGGGTTTGGAGACGGCTCAAGGAGCGCGAAGGCTGACGGTGTGGGGGAACCCCTCTGTGTGCCTGGGGAGCTGGGTGTGAGGGGCACAGACCTGCGCGGAGTTGGGGGGCCGGGTGTTGATCCTCCAAAGCAGTTTGCTGCCAGGAATGACCTGCACCGTCTCCTGAGCCGCGGGCACATCGTCCACCTCGTCGCTGTCTGCCTTCTCCGGACCGTCACCCTGCAACACAGGACACGCGGCAGGGCTGTCCCTGTGCCCAGAACACAGGACACATGGCAGGGCCACCCCTGCGCCCAGAACACAGGACACGCGGCAGTGCTGTCCCTGCGCCCAGAACACAGGACACACGGCAGTGCTGTCCCTGCACCCAGAACACAGGACACGCGGCAGGGCCACCTCTGCACCCTGAACACAGGACACGCGGCAGGGCCACCCCTGCGCCCAGAACACAGGACACGCAGCAGGGCCACCCCTGCGCCCAGAACACAGGACACGCGGCAGGGCTGTCCCTGCACCCTGAAACACAGGACACGCGGCAGGGCCGCCCCTGCGCCCAGAACACAGGACACATGGCAGGGCCACCTCTGCACCCTGAAACACAGGACACGCGGCAGGGCTGTCCCTGCACCCTGAAACACAGGACACGCGGCAGGGCCACCCCTGCACCCTGAAACACAGGACACATGGCAGGGCCCTGCGCCCAGAACACAGGACACGCGGCAGGGCCACCCCTGCACCCTGAAACACAGGACACATGGCAGGGCCGCCCCTGCGCCCGGGGTGGGGAGCTGTTCTCAGAGCACTTCGCAGACCGGCCACCACACCTCTTCCTGCGACACTGCCTGTCCGTCAGTTCACAGAGAAGCCGGGGCCTCGCTCCCAAGGGGCACTCACGCCCTGTGCAGGCGTTATGCTGTGCTTCTTGGACTCGCAGACAGCAGCAGGCCAGGGCTGGCAGCTGGGAGAGCCGAGGGTGAGCACCCTCAAGACGCCGTGCTGGCTCTGAACGTGGCTACGTAGGGACGGTGTACCAAGCGGGAGCCCTAAAAATGAACTTCTCAGAGCAGAAGGCTTCCTAGTGGGGCCGGCGCTGTGGTGTGCAGTGCCAGCACCCCACGTGGGCACTGGTTCAGGACTGGCTGCTCCAGTTGCAGTCCAGCTCCTGCTACTGCGCCTGGGACAGCAGCAGCAGACGGTGCAAGTGCTCAGGCCCTGCACCACGAGGCAGGGCCTGGATAAAGCTCCTGGCTCCCGGCTCTGGCCTGGCTCAGCCCAGCCACTGCCACCTGGGAGTGAACCAGCAGAGGGCAGATCTGTCTCTCTCTTCTCCCCCTCTTCTTCCTGTAACTCTGCCAAATAAATAAATAAATAAATAGGGGCTGTGCTGTGGCCTAGAAGAAGGTTAAGCCTCCACCTGCAAGGCTGGCATCCCGTATGGGTGCCAGTTCGAGTCTGGGCTGTTCCACTTCCAATCCAGCTCTGCTGTGGCCTGGGAAAGCAGTCGAAGATGGCCAGAGTTCTTGGGCTCCTGCCCTTAAGTGGGCAGGAAGACGCTCCTGGCCTCTGGTTTTGGCCTGGCCCAACCCCAGCCGTTGTGGCCATCTGGGGAGTGAACCAGTGGATGGAAGACCTCTCTCACTCTGTCTCTGCCTCTCCCTAACTCTGAATTTCAAATAAAATAAATAAAATTTCACTGAAAGCCTGCAGAGTTGGAAGGACAGTCCATACGCGACGTCCTCTAACGCCGAGAGCTTGGCCGCGCAGAGGAGGGGGTTCCGTGTGAGTCCGGCTGCCTGAGCTGTCGCAGGCTCCGGTGGGGACCAAACCTGCGGCCAGGGTCCCACAGGCAGCCTGGGAGCCGGGGCAGCCCGGGGCCTCGGTCCTGCGTCTCCGGTGTCCGCCATCACGCTGCACCGTTCAGGAGACAGCCTGGGCTGAGACGCTCAGGCCGCCCAGCAGCCTGTGTGGACGGCGGCACTGGGAAGGAAGCCTTTGTTTGAATCAGAGTATTGACTGCCGTTGTGGCCACCTGGGGAGTGAGCCGGAGGGTGGCGTGTGCTCTCCCTCTCTGTCTCTCTCTACTTCTTTTTCTGTGACTCTGCCTATCAAAGAAATACACAAATCTTAAAAAATATAAGAGAATCGGTGTTCCAATGTTCTAGAAGGAGTCCTTGCCAACACATTCTGGCTGTTGTGCTCAGAGCTGAAAACACGGCAAACTCACTTGTTTGTTCAAGGCTGTCTAAGCTAACGCAGTAGAGGAAGGGACATTACTCAGACAAGAACTTGGAGCCTCAGGGAAGGAAGGGGCTTGTGGGAGGCCCTTCCTGCATGGACGGCAGGGCTACACTCAGCCACAGGGCCATGCCCTGTCCACCTACAGGGCCACGCCCAGCCACAGGGCCACACCCAGCCACAGGGCCATGCCCTGTCCACCTACAGGGCCACGCCCAGCCACAGGGCCATGGCCAGCCACAGGGCCATGGCCAGCCATGAGGCCACGCCCTGTCCACCTACAGGGCCACGCCCAGCCACAGGGCCACGCCCAGCCATGAGACCACATCCACAGGGCCATGCCCAGCCACAGGCCACACCTAGTCACAGGGCCACACCCAGCCATGAGACCACATCCACAGGGCCACACCCAGCCATGGGGCCCCAGCCACGGGGCCACGCCCAGCCATGGGGCCCCAGCCACGGGGCCACGCCCAGCCACAGGCCACACCCAGCCATGGGGCCACGCCCTGTCCACCTACAGGGCCACACCTAGTCACAGGGCCACACCCAGCCATGGGGCCGCAGCCACGGGGCCACGCCCAGCCACAGGGCCACATCCACAGGCCCCGCCCCGCCCCAGGGCAGCCTCGAAGCCAGGGGGGCGCAGGCAGTGATCTGACACAAACCTGACACCCTTGCTGCTGTGGCGGCTGTGGGGGCCCCTGTGCCCCCAGGGTGGGCTGCAGGCCAGGCCAAGCACCGGGCTCCTGGGGGAGCGCCGGCAGCCCTCGGCGGCCCGGCTCGCTCTGCCGGGCGCCAGCACTCACCTGCCTGGCCTTCCGCCGGGGCTCGCCTCTCCGCTCCTGCTTCCTGAAGGACTCGTAGGCGGCGGGGTCGATGCCCCACAGACACTCCGTCCACTTGCCGTAGATCACGAACAGCTTCTTCTTGCTGTGTCACAGGGTCACACGGGGGCAGAGAACACACCGTTCTGAGCGCGAGCGCGGGTCCGGCCCTGCCTCAGTTTCCCAACTTTGAGACAAACACGGGGTCAGTTTGAGTTCTCTCTCGCCGCGCGGCAGCAACTGTCCCGACCCTGCAGCGCCAAAGCAGAAAAAGGAACGAGGCACCGAGCCCAAAGGGAGAACCGGGGCCCACGGGAGACAGTGCGGACAGGAGCAGGCACCCAGGGCCTCCCACTGAGGCCGCACCGCATTTCCTGTGCCAGCGCCCTCGCGCCATCTTCCCCCCACGCCCAGCCGGCCCCTGGCTGTCTGCTGACTGCGGCGCTTCCCTGAGAAGCAGCTCTGGAGCCCGACTCCCTAAGGGGCGGAGCGCCCACAGCCCTGCGCTCCCCGCCAGGCCCTTGGCCGCCTCTCCCTGGAAGCGGGGCTCAGGCAGGCTGGGTGCCCGCACAGAGGCGGCGCATGGGGCCTCAGGGAGGCAGGTGGCCACCGACAGTATACGGGGCCACACCTGTCCCCAGGGAGGGTGCACTCAGGTTCACGACGGAAAACCAACGACGCAAACACGGCGACGCGCCGTCAGTGCTGGCACACCCGGCACAGGCTGTGGGGCCGGCTTGCCGAGGAGGGGCCGGCACAGCGCACACGCCAAGTCCTAGCTCCCCGCTGCCGAGTGCTGAGGCTCAAGTCCAGCTGCCGTTGGCAGCCGTCTCTGTCCCCAGCAGAGCCCTCACAGCTCGAGGCTGGGAGCCAGCTTCCGGCTGAAACCGCACAGATTTCAGGAGCCGGAAGGAATCTGCAGGTCCCCGGCCCAAATCCTTACCGGAGACAAGCCCGAGAAATCGGAGATCCGAAACATAAAGTAACCCAAGCAAAAGCGACACTCGCGGGACACGGCTAACTCCACTCGCCAAAGCTTGTACAGGCCCCGGCACGCAGCCCGGAACGAACCAGCCGTGTGACAGTGATGCTGACACAAGCCCGTGTTTGCGCTTTGCCTGACGCGCAGCAGGAGACGCGCGGTCAGGGCTCCAAGCCTCGGCTCTGTCTGTAGAACTGCAGCCCTGTCTCTAGTGAACGTGTCCAACCTCCCAGGCTGACTTGGAGGAGGACACGGGCCCAGCTCTTGCACACTCCCCGCGGTCACGCACTCGGCACTGGCCCGGCCCGGCTGCTACGCTCAGCGATCAGACTACTTCCCAAACACAGCCCTAACTTCTCCCACCACGAGGAGATGCTCAGGGCTAAGCACAGCGTTTGCACACCATGCACTGGCCCCGGGCACACCGCCCCCCAAGTACACCGTCCCCCGGGCACACCATCCCCCAAGTACACCATCCCCCAAGTACACCATCCCCCAAGTACACCGTCCCCCAAGTACACCGTCCCCCAAGTACACCGTCCCCCAAGTACACTGTCCCCCGGGCACACCGTCCCCCAAATACACCGTCCCCCAAGTACACCGTCCCCCGGGCACACCATCCCCCAAGTACACCGTCCCCCAAGTACACTGTCCCCCGGGCACACCGTCCCCCAAGTACACCGTCCCCCGGGCACACCATCCCCCAAGTACACCGTCCCCGGGCACACTGTCCCCCAAGTACACCGTCCCCCAAGTACACCGTCCGGGCACACGTCCCCCAAGTACAACCGTCCCCCAAGTACACCGTCCCCCAAGCACACCGTCCCCGGGCACACCGTCCCCCAAGTACACCATCCCCCAAGTACACCGTCCCCCAAGTACACCGTCCCCGGGCACACTGTCCCCCAAGTACACCGTCCCCGGGCACACTGTCCCCCAAGTACACCGTCCCCCAAGTACACCCGTCCCCGGGCACACCATCCCCCAAGTACACCGTCCCGGGCCACCGTCCCCAAGTACACCGTCCCCCAAGTACACCGTCCCCGGGCACACCGTCCCCCAAGTACACCATCCCCCAAGTACACCGTCCCCGGGCACACTGTCCCCCAAGTACACCGTCCCCCAAGTACACCGTCCCCCGGGCACACCATCCCCCAAGTACACCGTCCCCGGGCACACCGTCCCCCAAGTACACCGTCCCCCAAGCACACCGTCCCCGGGCACACTGTCCCCCAAGTACACCGTCCCCGGGCACACTGTCCCCCAAGTACACCGTCCCCCAAGTACACCGTCCCCCAAGTATACCGTCCCCGGGCACACCGTCCCCCAAGTACACCGTCCCCCAAGTACACCGTCCCCCAAGCACACCTTCCCCCAAGTACACCGTCCCCGGGCACACCGTCCCCCAGGCACACCGTCCCCCAAGCACACCGTCCCCCAAGGACACTGTCCCATGGACACACTGTCCTGGCTACACATGGACCTACTTTCTGTCCTGAATGTGCCCTTCCACTTTGTGAAGCTCTTTTCCAAACAGCCCGCAGGGTTTAAAGTTCAGCACGCACTTGTCTCCAGTTCTGCAGGGGTGAAACACAGGCTTCCTTGTAGGACACAACCCACAGAGGCAGAAAGCAGAGCAGGGACGACCACACCCGGCACGAGGGGCCGTGCTGGGTGCTGGGTGCTGGGTGCCGGGTGCCGGGAATGTCTTGGGACTGGCTTGTGGCGGTGGCTGCAGAGCTGGGCAAACCCACCAAACACCACATAAACGTGGCTTTTACTGCTGTGAGCCTCTCCACGGTTAGCAACACCGCCAGCCCGGACAGTGGGCGCTGGGGACGTCACTGCGCCGCCTTTGGTGCCGTGCAGAATCTCCCAGTAAATTACGACTTAGACTGAAGACAAAACAGCCAACACGGCGCTTTCGTGGTGCCCTGGACACCGCACAGAGCCCGCACGGAGCCCGCGGGGAGGAGGGGCTGTGGTGGGTGGCGGGGCCCCGCGGGGAGGAGGGGCTGTGACGGGTGGTGGGACCCCGGCTCCGTGCACGGCCCCGTGGGGAGGAGGGGCTGTCACCGGTGGCAGACCCCGGCTCCGTGCATGGGCCTGCGGGGAGGGGGGGCTGTCACCGGTGGCAGACCCCGGCTCCGTGCGCGGGCCCCGTGGGGAGGGGGGACTGTGACGGGTGGCAGGACCCCGGCTCCGTGCATGGGCCCGTGGGGAGGGGGGGCTGTCACTGGTGGCAGACCACGGCTCCGTGCGCGGGCCCGCGGGGAGGGGCGTCACCTGTGGTTCAGGATCTCCACAGTCCCGTACTGCTCAATCCACAGCTTCCCGATGATGACGTTGTGCACGCAGCAGGTGGGGTTGGTCCAGGTGTAGGCTTCATTATGTCTGGAAACAGCGGAAACCAGACAAACAGACGCTGCGTGACCTCAGACGCGGAGACCAGACAGGGGCCGGCAGAAGGCCACGACGTCCCTTTGAAGTCCCGGGTGGCTGTTTAGCTGGCACGCATTTGAAATCGGTTCCTTCTTCCTTTGTAGCATCAACAAAGCTTTCTACTTAGATGCCGAGACGGGTCACGAGCGACGCAGACTGAGACAGAGAGCAGCGCTCCCCTGTCAAGTGGCCAGCGCTCCCCAGACACACGCTGCAGAAACAGGGCCCTGAGACAGCCCCTGGCCTCCTGGGGACCCCGGCAGTGGTCTGCACCGTCCAGCCGCGAACGGCCCTGCCCAGGCAGAGCTGCAGCTGATGCTGACCTGCGCCTCTGAGGGGCCACGGCCAGGAGCTGAGTGCTGCCCGGCGTCACCAGACCTTGAGCTTCCCGGCAGAACCCTACAGCGCTCACCAGCAAGGCTCGCCATGCCCCAGCCCCGAAGAGCAGAGAGCACCACTTCACACAGGGGCCCGTCACTGCGCTTGGAGCCACGTCAGCCCACATACGCCTGCGGGCAGAGCGGGGACCATGCTCCTCTGGTCCTGGCAACCAACCAGGCAGGGCCAGCAGGAAGCAAACACGGCTCACCTGGCCGTGTGTGCACCTGCTGGACACTTGCTTTCTGCTCTGAGAGCCTTGGGTGGACTTTGGACTGGACGCACCGAGTCTGACTTGAAGGGGGCGCTGGGCAGCCTCGCAGACAGCCCCTCCAGTGAGCCTTACCTCGGACCCAGACCTCTGTCCCCCCCCACTGTGTACGTCAGTGTGACCAAGCACACAGCAGGTGTGGCTGGGGGTGGGGGCTGTCACTTCCACAGCTCTCTCCCCGTGGGCCCAAGAGGGATAAAGGAAGCCGGTGGCCAGGACTGGGGGCCGGGGCCTGCTGCCCACAGCTTGGAGGGCAGCTTGGAAGCAGAGGCCGCAGGCTACGGCATTCGGGGTCAGCCTGGCCCACGCCTTCTGTGTGACGTCACGGGAGTGCTGCCCAGACACCAGCGGGATTTCACACAGCAAAAGGCACCGAATCCAAAAGTGGCGAAAGCACTGCAGGACCACGCGGGGAAGGGGCGGGCCTCTGGCAGCGAGCAGCGTGGCCCTCGGGACCTTGTGGAGGGCGCGCCCCAGGGATGGGTCTGGGGTTCCTTCCAGCCCGGCCCTGGCGCCACTCACTTGAGGAGCTCCAGTGTGATGGTCCCGCGGGGCTCGGCCTCCACACTCTTCCCCCAGAACCGCAGCTTCGGGTAGATGGAGCCGTGGAACACGAAGTCTTCACTGAGACCTTCCGAGTAGAACGCGCTGATGGGCGGGTGGTGACTGACCTGCTCGGATATGAACCTGAACCCCAGGTCCTCCCTAGGTCCAAAAACAAGATGGGGTACGGATAAGAGGACGAGGGAGAACAGGCAGCCACCTTGGGTTCAGAGCAGGCCAGCACGCCCGCCGGTCACACGAGCTCAGTGTCCGGCACCCGGCACCTGGCAGGCACACCAGCACACCTGCCGATCACACGAGCCCGCGGTCCGGCACCCCTGGCACACCAGCACGCCCGCCGGTCACACGAGCCCGCGGTCCGGCACCCGACAGGCTCATCAAGGACTGACGGGTACCGCGGACTGCACGACAGACACGTCCAGCTCCAGCCTCTGCCGTCACCAGCACACACCCCTGGCCACCGCCGGAGCACAGCTGCCTGCTCACCTCCCCGGGGCCACCCAGGCCACGCAGGGCCAGGCCAGAGGGGTGCATGGACGTGAGCCCCTCCACACGGAGCTCCCTCAGGCCCCTCGGGAGGCTCCCAGACTCCCACGAAGCAGCTGTCCTACACCCGGGCCAGGAAACAGCAACTTCACACCGTCTCGTTCAATAAGAGCGTCCACTTTTAATTGTTCCGGAACTGAATACACCTACAGCTGCAGGCACCAGCAATCGTAAAAGCCAAACCACACGATTACTAACTTAACTGGAACAGAACTTCCAATCATTGCAGGGAAGCAAAGTTGAGAAATTAGACTTAAAGGCTGCCTCCAAGGTCCGTGACGCACAAAGGAACGCGGTCTCAGACAGGGAAGGTATTTTTAGCTCTCCCAGAGCAGTCTGCAGGGATCAGACGCCGGGAAGTGACCTGGTCCTGGACGTGGCTCCTAAGCCACAGGACGCACCACGCACAGCCGACACCGACATCCGGGCCTGGGACACGTGACACAGGGCCTCGATTTTGTCAACCCTGAATTCAGTGCCCGGGGCAGGTTAAGAACCGGGCCGACCCGTCTCAGCTGGCGTCTGGGGCTGTTCCTATCTCTTAATCTGGGTGCCTCTTTTCCTTAAACAGCGGTCGACGCCTGACCCCACCGGAGCATCTGGGTTCACATCCCACCACTGCGTGGGCCCGCGCTCACCTTGTGGGCAGCGGCAGGTGGTTCACGTAGCTGGGTCCCTGCACCCTCAAGGGACCTGACCGAGCTCTGGGCCCTGGCTTCAGCCTGGCCCAGCCCCAGCTTCTGAGACCCTCTGGGGGGCATACCCACAGGTGGGAGCTCTCTGTCTGTCTGTCTGTCCCTGTTTCTTTCTTCCAAATAAATAAAAATAAAAACATAGAACTCTTTTTGTTCTGGTCTGTTCTTCAAGATACTTTAATATTTCTCTTTTGAAAGAACCTTATTAATTTATTTGAAAGGCAGAGTGACAGAGAGGGAGGAGACAGAAACCTCGCGTCCTCACTCCTCACACGGCTACAACACCCAGGGCCGGGCCGGGCCGAGTCCAGGGGCCAGGCGTTCTCTCCAGGTCACCCTGGGACCCCTGCTGCCCCCATGGAAGACCTGGACAAAGTTCCGGGCGCACAGCTTCAGCCTGCCCAGTAACAGCAGTTGTGGCCATGCGGGAACGAACCACCAGATACAAAGATCTTCCTGTCTCTCCTTTCTCTCTTAACTTTCAAATAAATAACTCTTTTTTAAAATTTTATTTTTTTGACAGGCAGAGTGGACAGTGAAAGAGAGAGAGAGACAGAGAGAAAGGTCCTCCTTTGCCGTTGGTTCACCCTCCAATGGCCGCCGCGGCCGGCACACTGCGGCCGGCGCACCGCGCTGATCCGATGGCAGGAGCCAGGTGCTTCTCCTGGTCTCCCATGGGGTGCATGCAGGGCCCAAGCACTTGGGCCATCCTCCACTGCCCTCCCTGGCCACAGCAGAGAGCTGGCCTGGAAGAGGGGCAACCGGGACAGAATCCAGCGCCCCGACCGGGACTAGAACCCGGTGTGCCGGCGCCACAAGGCAGAGGATTAGCCTAGTGAGCCGTGGCGCCAGCCTCAAATAAATAACTCTTAAAAAAAAAAAAAAAGAGCAGGACTGGGCCACACAGCTCCCCAGAGCTGCCAAATCAAACCAAGACCTCCAGACATCCCCAGCCCCACCAAGCCGAGGTGAGAGGGGCCAGCAGCAGAGCCCTGAGAATCAGAGACCCTGGCCCCAGCGCCTGCGCACAGGAGGCCCGCATCACCGTGGTAACACCCCTTCCCCATGGGCAGAAAACCAGCACCAGCAACGCGTGGGCTGAACCCCGGGCGGAGGCCTCCAGGCCCAGGCAGCCCCGGCACGCACTCACCACCGGGGGGCTCCCGGTCACCAACTGTGCAACAAAGGCCCCACGACAGTGCCCTGTGATTCCAAAGCATCTGTGCTTCTCTGAGTTTAACGAAAAAAAGCTGCAGATTAAACCATGCCATGCAGGAGCTGGCGTGTGGCACCGGGGGTAGAGCCACCGCCCAGACGCCGGCGTTCCACAGGGCGGCAGCAGGAGACCCGGCGCCCTGCTCGTGCACTTGGGAAGCAGCAGAGGGTGGCCCAGTGCACGGCAGGCCAGAGGCTCCGGGCCGCAGTCACCGCGGCCACCGGGCGTGAGGCAGCAGATGGAGGTAGCTCTCTCTAACTCGACCTTTCAGACAGATACATACATTAAAACACACACACACGTTACAGAAACGCTACACTGTGAAACGTGTCTTACCACCAAGGAGACACTGAGTAGACAACCTCAGCACCCCGGAGTGACCCGGTGAGCCCAGCACACTGGTGAATGCCCCACATCGCACAGACGCGCACACAGACAGGTCCACTGAAACGTCGACAGTGACCGGCTTTCGGGCGTCACGTCTGATTTGTCTTTTCTACTTCTGTCGATATTGTGCTTTTTTTTTTTTTGACAGGCAGAGTGGACAGTGAGAGGGACAGAGAGAAAGGTCTTCCTTTGCCGTTGGTTCACCCTCCAATGGCTGCCGCGGCCAGCGCACCACACTGATCTGCAGCCAGGAGCCAGGTGCTTCCCCTGGTCTCCCATGGGGTGCAGGGCCCAAGCACCTGGGCCATCCTCCACTGCACTCCCGGGCCACAGCAGAGGGCTGGCCTGGAAGAGGGGCAACCGGGACAGAATCCGGCGCCCCGACCGGGACTAGAACCCGGGGTGCCGGCACTACAGGTGGAGGATTAGCCTAGTGAGCTGCGGCGCCGGCTGATATTGTACATTTTCTATAAAGATCATATTCTTGTAATTAAAAGCAGACTTGACTTAAATAAAATACTCCAGGGAAAAACCAATTAACTAGAATTCAGTCAGAGGCGGCATTTTGGCAGGACTTCCCTTTCCACAGAAAACAAGATGACGGGGCCAGCGCTGCAGCGCAGCAGGTAAAGCCACAGCCCACAGTGCTGCCATCCCATGTGGGCGCCAGTTCGAGTCCCAGCTGCTCCACTTCCGACCCAGCTCCCGGCTGATGGCCTGGGAAAGCAGCAGAGGGTGGCCCAAGTACTTGGGTCCCTGCACCCGCGCGGGAGACCTGGAGGAAGCTCCTGGCTCCTGGCTTTGGCCTGGCCCAGCCCTGGCTGTTGAAGTCATCTGGGGAGTGACCCAGCAGAAGGAAGACCTCTCTGTCTCCCCCTCTCTCCGTGTAACTCAAATAAATAAATAAGTGTTTAATTAAAAAAAGCCAAGATGACGAGGGAGCCCTCCCTCCACCCGCCTGCTGGCTCCTGTGCTGTCGTCCGTCCAAACCTCCACCCCTGTGGCAGAGCGGGCTGCAGGTGCTGGGCTCCACCCCTCTGGGAGGGGCCCAGGACACAGCAGACCCTGCTCTCCGAGCCCCGCTCGCTCCTCACCACCTTCCTGGGCCCATAAACCTCCCCAGCAGCCTGGGGACCAGGAGAGGGCAGGACCGAGAGTCCCAGATGCCAGCCCTCCGTCCCGCGCCTCGGCCACGCCGCGCTGCCCTCTGCTTGTGACACTGTGGGGGCGGGGGGAGGTTCCCTCCAGGCTCCAGGCCAGTCCTGAGCAGTGCTGCCCACTGCATGTCCTGAGCCAGTCTTTTTAAAGATTTATGTATTTATTTGCAAGTCAGCGTTACAGAGAGGAGAGGCAGAGAGAGAGAGAGAGAGAGAGGGGTCTTCTATCCGCTGGTTCACTCCCCAATTGGCTGCAACAGCTGGAGCTGGGCCGATCTGAAGCCAGGAGCCAGGAGCTTCCTCCAGGCGGGTGCAGGGCCCCAGGACTTGGGCATCCTCCACTGCTTCCCCAGGCCACAGCAGAGAGACAGATTGGAAGAAGAGCAGCCAGGTCTCGAACCGGCGCCCATATGGGATGCCGGCACTGCAGGTGAGGGCATTAACCGGCTGCGCCACAGCGCCGGCCCCGAGCCAGTCTGTGGACGTCCGCATGGTGACCACAAGGACGAGGCTGGAAGGTGGGGAGGAGGTGCAGCCTGAAGGGCTCCGGCGGGGGGGCGCTGCTCATGAGAATCTCGCGGGGGCGCCGTGCTCTGGGGGCCGCTCGTCCGCCCCGCCCGAGCCCCACAGCTCCCGCGGTGCCCTTGTTCCCCCCCCCGACACCTGCCCTTCCAGCACCCACACCGAGATGCCTGGGGAAACGGCCTAGTGTCACTGCGTACTGTCTACTTCCACTTTAGTTCACTGCTTGACCCATGTCACACACGTGCCCGCGTCCGTGGACGTCACAGCCACTCCTGACTCCGAGGCATCGGAGGCGCCACTTCCAGCTCTGCTGCCGTCACGAGGGGTTGGTGGCACCATCAGCACCACGCTCCACGTACGTGCCACGTCTCCTCCCTGGCCACAGCATTCCAGAGCCGGCAGGGGGACGCGCCCCAGCCCGACCCTCCCAGGCCCGGGGGCTCCCCGACGGCCGGCACCTGCCACTGACAAGCGCTCGCGGCGGCCTCTTCCTTACCTGACGAGTTCGTACGTCTCTCCCAAGAGCGGGTTGAAGGGTTTGCCCGTCCTCTCCCACTGGGAAGCCACAGCCGACACCGCAAACGCAGCCACGGACTGCAAACGAGGCACAGGACCAGGAGGAGCGACTCAGCGCGGAGCGCCCGCGGCACTCGGCGTCTGTCACCCCCTCTGCGACGTGTCAGCTCCCCACCGGCCCCACGCTCTGTGCCACGGGACGTCCGGGGATGCTGCCCCTCCCCCAGCTCCTCAAAGCCCCCCGAAGAACCACACTCGCTTCTCTCATCAGGCTCGGCTCTGCCTGGCACGCGCTGCGGCACGCTGTCTGCCTGCCTCACACACACACCCCCCGAGGACACAGCTGCACATACATGTGCCCACGGACTCAAACACATGTACACATGTGCATACACACGTGCACCTGCACACAACACAGTGCACCCACACACAAGTGTGCAACACACGTGTAGCCATGCATGCATTCACACACGCATCCACACATACATACATGCAGCCGCACACACAAATGTGTGCACATGCATACACACCCTGCATACACATGAATTCACACATTCCAGTACACACTTGCACGTGTGCCCACATACACAAACGTGCACACACATTTACATGGGTGTGACGTGCACTCACACACACACACACACACACACACTCATGCAAGCAGAAATGCACATGCTACTGTGGCCACAGTCACACGTCCAAGGACACACACGTGCACACACACCCCTGCACACGCCACACACGCACACAGCCTAGGAAGCCAGCACCAGGCTGCGCAGACACGCGCCGCCGGCCCCGACCGCCACGCACACACCTGCATCCTGTCCAGGGCCTGGGGCTGCCGGGAGGCCTGGTGCACGAGGTACACGTGCTCCATGTACTCTGTGATCCGCTGCAGGAAGCTCAAGGGCTCGTTGAAGGCGATGGGCATCGTGATCTTCGACAGCTCCTGGGGAGGCCTGCTCTTACCTCCCGGGCTCCTGGGAGGCCTGTTCTCACCTCCCGGCCTCCTGGGAGACCTGCTCTTACCTCCCGGGCTCCTGGGGAGACCTGCTCTTACCTCCCGGGCTCCTGGGAGGCCTGTTCTCACCTCCCGGCCTCCTGGGAGGCCTGTTCTCACCTCCCGGCCTCCTGGGAGGCCTGCTCTCACCTCCCCAGCCCCGGGCCTCACACGGCCCCACGCGCACAGTCACTGCACGGAGCTGCAGAATCCGGCCCTGGGCGGGATCGAGATGGCGCAGACCCTCTGGGGTTGCCAGCTGCCCTTGGCACTCCTGCCCCAGGGGCCTCGCTCAGCAGCTTCCGTCCGACCCCATGTGGAGCCACTGCCCAGCCCAGAGAGGCCTCCCCCGCGTCCTCGCCACGCCCCCAGGCCACTACCCCAAACCCAACCCGCGGTGCGCAGGCAGCCTGGGCAGGAGCCACCGCCGGCCACCTGCAGCTGTCCCTCCCCACTCCATTTCCACATTGGGCACCAAACGCAAGCTTCCCTCACATCAACAAAGACGGCCAAGATGCTCACAGCCCGCGTCCCACACGGCAGTGCCTGGCTTAATCCCCGGCTCTGGGAGGCAGTAGTGATGGTTTAAGTAGTTGGGTTCCTGCCACCCCTGAGGGAGAGCTGGCCCGGGCTCCCGGCTCCTGGCCCAGCCTGGCTGTTGTGGGCGTCAGAGGAACTGACTTCAGATGGGAGCTCTCGCCGTCTCGCCTTCTGTCTCTGCCTCTCAAACACATTCTTCAGACTGTTTTAAAGGGGCCGGTGCCACGGCCCAGCAGCTTCCCTGCGCCCCAGGCTCAGCACCGTACCCGAGTGGCTGCTCTGACCCAGCCCGCCTCCCCCATGCACCTGGGAAGGCAGTGGAGGTGGCCCACGTACTTGAGCCCCTGCCACCCACATGGGAGAGCCCGAGGGACTACAGACTCCTGGCTTTAGCAGGGCCCAGACCTGGCCACTGTGGCCATTCGGGGAATAAACCAGCAGACGGAAGACTCTCTCTCCTTTCTCTGCTGCTCCGCATTTCACGTAAATAAACCTTTAAAAACACGATCGTAAGTCACCTGGTTTCCACTGCCCCCAGAGTGACACTGCAGTGCCCTGGGCGGCAGGCAACGGCTCAAGTGACGGTCCCGGCCACCCCCACGTCCCCAGATCCAGCTCTGGCCTGGCCTGGCCGTCACCACAGGGCCCGGGCAGTGAACCAGTGGCTGCGGGCTCTGCCTGTGAATGTCTCTCTCTCCTCCTCCCTGTGTCTCAAATTAATCAATCAATTAATTAAAATTAAACTTTAAAAAGCAGAGCCCAGGCCCAGCAGTAACACTTCCAGAGCCCGCGGGCATCTGCTCCAAACCTGCAGGCACAAGGTGGGCTGTGGCTCCCGCTCCCTGAGCCCCCAGCCCAGGGGAGGGGTCACGTGCAGCCAGCCTCTGACTGTTTCTAGGGAGGATGGACTTTGACAGAGAAGGCAGGAGGGCGGCCAGGAAGAGGCACAGCTGCTGTCGGCAGGACAGGACCTTCAGAGAGGCCAGGGCCGGGGCGGCTGAAGCAAAGGTGGGGAGGCGGAGTGAGAGGCGGGGGCAGGAGGGGCCCAGGTGAGAGCTGTCGCGGCCGCTGGGACCAGAACAGGCTGTGGCGCCCGTGCTGAGGGCCCTGCGCCCCTGCCCGCAGCATGGGGGCAAAGTGACCCTCTGAGTGCTGTGGCGGCACTCCGGGAGGCCCTGGGCCCTGCTCACACACTGCCACCCACAGACCACCCCTGAGGCCGGGGCAGGGGCAGGGGCAGGGGCAGGAGCGGTGAGGCTGCCTCTGCAGAGCAGGGCGGGACGAGAGCCCGGGACCCCAGCTGCCTCGCGAGGAGGGGGCGGGAGACGTGGGTGCTGAGGAGACTCAAGAGTGGAGAGAAGCAGACATAACCTGCGGTTTTTACCCCGGACGAGAGCTAACTTCCCTTCCACGAGCTGACGACGCCACAGCTGGCGGCAGCTGGGGCCAGAGAAGCCGGCGGTGGGCAGGGAAGAAGCAGCGCCAAGCGCAGGAGACGCTGGCCTGCTCAGCTGGGGAGACCAGCGCTCCCCACGCCGCGGGCAAGGCTCGGAGCCCAGGCCCCACCCCTGCTGCTGGCCGGACACCACGCGCAGCCTGCGGGTCCCGCCGTGGGCAGCAAAGCTCCACACCCGATGACCTCTGGGCGGCCTGGGCGGACATCATGCAGGGCTGGCTCCCACAGCACCGCAAAACTCAGCCACGACCAGAAGTGACCCAAATTTCCAGCAACAGGACACCGGTCCAGAAAACCGCAGGGCGGCCGTGTGAGGGCGGAACAGCTTCACAGAGAGAGAGACCCACACAGAAGCCTCTCCCCGCCCCACCCCACATGTGTTTCGCTCTGCCTTTCAAGCAGATAAAAACAAAAATAAGCATTTAGAAATGGGGCCAGCACTGTAGTGCAGCAGGCTAAGCCTCTGCCTGAGGCAAGAGCAGCCCACACGGGCGCCAGTTCCTGTCCCGGCTGCTCCACTTCTGATTCAGCTCCCTGCTGTGGCCTGGGAAAGCACTGGAAGATGCCCAAGTCCTTGGGCCCTGCACCCACATGGGAGACCCGGAAGAAGCTCTGCCCGTGGCGGTCAATTGGGGAGTGAACCAGAGGATGGAAGACCTTTCTCTCCATCTCTCCCTCTCAAATAAATACATAAAATCTGAGAGGAACGAAGGAATGAAAGAAGGAAGAGAAAAGAAAAAAAAAGAAGAGAGAGAGAGAGAAAGAACAAACGAGCTATCTAACATCAAAAATTAAATGAACAAGCCTACCTGGTTCCCTCTCTGGCATAATCACCCAGAGAAGAATGACCCCGGCTGATTTTATTTTTTAAATATTTACTTATTTGAAGGCAGAGTGACAGAAACAGAAGAAGAGACAGACACAGAGCATTTTCTGTGTGCTGCTTCATTCCCCAAACGGCCACAACAGCCAGGGCTGAGCCAGGCGCTCCACCTGAGTCTCCCAGGCCCATCGGCAGGAAGCTGAACCGGAAGTGTGGAGTAACCGGGACTCGGACCAGGCACTCCGATTTGGGATGCCAGCGGCTCACCCCACTGTGCCACAGCACCCACTGTGCCACAGCACCGGCCCCCAGACGACTTCACAGCTCAGTGATCTGAGATGTTCCCTAAGGACACAAAGAACCACAGAAGCCAACAGACACACGTGGGACAAGGTAAACGTGTCACATCTGGGTGCAGCACCCTGGCAACCGGCCAGTGAGGAGGGAGACACTGCCAGGACACGCCTGCCTTCACGAATCTGAAGCAAAGTTGAAACGAACAAAAACAAGGTTCCCAGCTCGACGCCTGAAGAGACCCAGAAACAGGACCCACGGCCCCCAGCTGCAGCCCGGCCGTGGCCCTGACAGCGGCCGATTCCGGAACCGGGACAGGAAATGTGCGGGGTGAGCCTGGGCGTCTTCTCAAGGATCAGAACTGCCTGGCAGAGGCCTCCAATGACCAAAGACGGGGCAACTGGACTGGCAGATGCCTGACAGGGTTCATCTCCGGGCCAGCCAGCCAGCCAGAGGTGCCTGTCGGTCCGAAACAGTCGACATCTCAGCAAAAACCGCTGGTAGAAGAGCGAACTCCACACGCGTGGTTTTAGACGCCAGCACACGGGTCCATGTGCACACGGCACAGCACACACTCGTCCAGCTCGAGAGCCGACGGGGTGGGGGACACAGCCGGCCGGGGTCCTGCCTCCTGAGCCTCAGAAGGGTCCTTGGGCGGAGGCAAGGAGAAGGCGGGGGGACCCAGGGGTCCCCAGGAGCCTGAAAGCTGGGGTTCACGGCAGGCGGGGCTCCCCCGCAGGGGCTCCCGAAGCCAACAGCCCAGCAACCTGAACGAGGCACCGAGGACCACGCTGACTGCACCCGGGAACACAGGTGAACGGGGGGAGGGACGCCACCCTGCTGGCAGGGGCACGCGTGCCCGGCCCTGGGGAAGCACGTGTGCCCGGCCCTGGGAGCACCTGTTGCACACACCCACTTGCACGCTTGTTTTCCTGCTCTATTTGTTCCCTTCCTGTTAGACACATTTAAGTGTTCTGTGTTTTTTTTTAATTTGAGAAGCAGAGAGATCCCAACCGCTGGTCCACTCTCAACGGCTGGGGCGGGGCCGGCCGGAGGGAGGAGCTGGGAGCTCAGCCGGGGTCTCCCCGAGCATCAGCAGGAAGCTGGAGTCGGGGGCTGGGACCACGGCTCACACCTGGCACTCCGATGTGGGATGCGTGCGCGGGGCGAACACCTGCCCTGGTCATCACCGCGACGTCACGCTCCACACACACACAGCGCATTCTCCTACGCAAGCACAGTGCCCGCACGGAGGACGCGCAGGGGTGCGCTCCGGGCTCGGGGATGGGCGCCAGTGCCCGCACGGAGGACGCGCAGGGGTGTGCTCTGGGCTCGGGGACGAGCGCCAGTGCCCGCACGGAGGACGCGCAGGGGTGCACTCTGGGCTCGGGGACGAGCGCCAGTGCCCGCACGGAGGACGCGCAGGGGTGCGCTCCGGGCTCGGGGACCGGCGCCAGTGCCCGCACGGAGGACGCGCAGGGGTGTGCTCTGGGCTCGGGGACGGGCGCCAGTGCCTGCACGGAGGACGCGCAGGGGTACACTCTGGGCTCAGGGACAAGCGCCAGTGCCCGCACGGAGGACGCGCAGGGGTGCACTCTGGGCTCGGGGACGAGCGCCAGTGCCCGCACGGAGGACGCGCAGGGGTGCACTCTGGGCTCAGGGACAAGCGCCAGTGCCTGCACAGAGGACGCGCAGGGGTGCACTCTGGGCTCGGGGACGAGCGCCAGTGCCCGCACGGAGGACGCGCAGGGGTGCACTCTGGGCTCAGGGACAAGCGCCAGTGCCCGCACGGAGGACGCGCAGGGGTGCACCCTGGGCTCGGGGACGAGCGCCAGTGCCCGCACGGAGGACGCGCAGGGGTGCACCCTGGGCTCGGGGACGAGCCCTCCGCTCACCAGGCCAATGCACTTCTTCAGGATGCTCCAGACGCTGAAGTCGCTCCGGGTGAACATCGGGGCGGGCAGGCAGGTCCTGTGAGGGCGGCAAGGCCACACGCATGTCACCGCACCGCACACAGACGGCCCGCCTCAGTGTGTCACAGCTGAACACTGGCACCTCTACTCGGAGCCGGGCCTCTGGGACGGCTGTGACGGCTGGGAGTCCTGGACCCCTGCAGCCACACCGTGTGTCCTCCTCCAAAGTGGGGGAGGAGGACACACCTGCTGCCCCCCTCGGGGCCTCCTGCCTGCCCCAGAGGCAGCCGCCTGGGGCAGGACAAGGACAGAGGCCAGGCCGAGGGGTTGCTAAGAACCTGTTCCTAAGGCGCAACCCCTCAGGCCACCTCCACCAGTGACGGGGCCCTGCAGTCACCTCCACACGAGACCTGCACCCCCAACCCGCTCCCAGCTGACTGGGCGGGAGGGCCTGGGCTCCCTCCTGGGAACGGGGGCAGAAGAGGCCCTGTCTCCCGCTGGGAGGCGGGCGTCTGGGTGCAGATGTAAGGATTGCGGGGAGGTGTACACTCACAGACGCTGCGCACTCACAGCCGGGGGACCTGGACCGACCCTCCGACCACGGAGAGCACGGGCCCTCGCCCACGCCAGGTCCCACGCGGTCCACCAGGGCACGCGCTTACTTCAGAAGCGAGCGGGAGCTCGGCGGGCATTCGGCTGCCGGAAGGAACGCTTGGCGCCTCTGTGCCGTCTTCCAGACTCTGCTGGAACACTCTGGCTGCCGCACGTGGCAAATTGCAAGGGGCCCCACCAGGAGGGGCACAAGGCTCTTCCGAGGGTCGGGAAGTTGGGGGAGGGGCTGAGGATATGACCTTTGGGCGAAAAACAGGAGCAGGAACAAGAGCCGAGACAGGAGTGGGGAGTGGCCCAGGCCAGGGGGCAGCGTGGACAGGAGGGGGGAGTGGGCCCAGGCCAGGGGGCAGCGTGGACAGGAGGGGGGAGTGGCCCAGGCCAGGGGGCAGCATGGACAGGAGGGGGAGTGGGCCCAGGCCAGGGGGCAGCGTGGACAGGAGGGGGGAGTGGGCCCAGGCCAGGGGGCAGCGTGGACAGGAGGGGGGAGTGGGCCCAGGCCAGGGGGCAGCGTGGACAGGAGGGGGGAGTGGGCCCAGGCCAGGGGGCAGCGTGGACAGGAAGGGGGAGTGGGCCCAGGCCAGGGGGCAGCGTGGACAGGAAGGGGGAGTGGGCCCAGGCCAGGGGGCAGCGTGGACAGGAGCACACGGCACAGCAGAGAGCACAGGGCAAGAGGACGGGAGGCTGCTGGCCTCGTCCTGTGAGCACGGCGAGCCCACTGCCCACTGCCCAGCCCGGACGCCTCTGTGAGGGCAGGAGGCCGCTTGGCGCCACGCGGCCCCAGGAGTGCAAGGCCAGTGGCGAGTTTCCGGCAGAGCGTGGAGGCGGTGCCATCAGATGTGGTTTTGGAAAATGCCCCTGCACACAGCCGGAGCAGAAAGGGAGAGGGAAGAACAGGGGCGGCCACGCGGGGTGGGGGCAGTGGGCTGGCACGTGGCGGGCAGGCAGAGAACCAAGCACCCAGACGCACGGAGGCCGGCCAGAGCGGCAGAGAGGCACCAGGTGAGACCGGGGTGTCCCTGGCTCACTGCGGGCGTCCAGGTACCAGGGCTGTGCACTGGGGAGGGGCGGCAGTGGAGGCCGAGGCCAGGGAGAGGCCCGGGGCCCTGGACAGGCCCTGGGCGCAGGAGGCCAAGGGCGTGAATGGGGCAACGTAGGGTAAGGGAGGTGTCCGAGTGGGCCCATCCCACACACGCTGAAGGGGCTCCCTGCGGCCAGAGCCCCACCCTCTCCCCACCCGTGCCCGTCCTGCTTCTGTTTCCGAGACTGACGGCAGCTCGCGGGCCACTGTCGGCACAGGGAAATGAACAGGCGGGGGGAAACGCACGTCCTCTGTGAGCGCTCAACCAGCCCCGTGCCTGAGGGTCAGGGGACCACGCACGGCGGAAGGCAGAGGGGCAGCGTGGAGGACGGGCGGACGCGCACACCACCAGCCAGGCCTGCTGCCGGCGCCCTCGGCAGAACCTGCACTGCCCCTCCACACCCGCGAGTGCCCACGGCCACCTCCCTCGAGTGCCGAAGACAGGGAGGGGAGCGACCCCATCGCCGCACGGGAGTCGCGGGCGCACAGCATCATGCATGCAGAGGGGCGTGGAGTCGGCACCCTGCGGGGCAGACGCTGCGCGTGCCTGGAGGAGCCGGCCAGGACCCCAGCGAGGTTGGCGGGGCCCTCGCTCCAGGCTCGTGGGAGCCGAGGGTGCGGTGCACCGCGGGAAGCTGAACACGTGCAGCGCATACCTGTGTTTCTGAATTCCGTTCTCTGGAGGGGGCCTCTCCCCAGCCTTCCCAGTCCTCCCGCTCCTGCTCCTGTCCAGGTCAACCATCCCGGTGACTTTCTGATTTGCCTCGGAAAATTCCCCGGAGGAGTTGTCAGAATCAAAGCCTGTGCGAGACAAGACAGCAGTCATGGCCGCGGGGCTGGAGGAGTGCGGAGTCGTGAGAGCCCCGCAGGCCACGAGGGCACCGCAGGCCACGAGGGCACCGCAGGCCACGAGCACACCACAGGCCACGAGGGCACCATAGGCCATGAGCACACCGTAGGCCATGAGGGCACCACAGGTGACCAAGGGCACCGCAGGCCATGAGCACACCACAGGCCACGAGGGCACCGCAGGCCACAAGGGCACCACAGACCACCAAGGGCACCACAGACCACCGAGGGCACCAGAGACCACCAAGGGCACTGCACTGCACCATCACACTCCACACCCCAGGAAGGGAGGCCAGGCAGAGGGGCCGCACTGTGGAGCACAAGACTGAGCCACTGCTCCTGCCACCACAGCCCACGTCACAGCGCTGGTTCAAGTCCCGGCTGCTCTGTTTCTGGTATGGCTCCCGTACATGCACCAGGAAGGCAGTGGACACTGGCCCGCGTACCTGGTGCAGCGCGAGGTCTGGACGGAGTTCCCAGGCCCTGGGGAGTGACCCTGGGACTGCAGACCCTCCCTCTCTCTGTCACTCTTTCACATCAGCCTAAAAGGAGCGGCCGGCGAGAGCTTCTGCAGCTCCCGTTCGTTCCAGCAGGGCTCCACCTGCCGTCACGTGGGCAGGGACTCACACCCTGCTGGGTGGGTCACCTCCTCAGGTGCAGTGTGCTGTGTGCAAGCTCGAACCACGGCTCCAGGGCAGGAGACCCCCGCAGGGCACGACCACTGCAACACAGTACATGTGAGCACCCCACGTGCATGACCACATGTGGCCATGTGACTACCACAGTACACGCATGACCACACTCACAACCACAGCACTCGTGACCATCACAGCACACGTGACCATCACAGCACACACATGACCACCACAGTACACACGACCATTGCAGCACACACATGACCACCACAGTACACACGACCATCGCAGCACACACATGACCACCACAGTACACACGACCATTGCAGCACACACATGACCATCGCAGCACACACATGACCATTGCAGCACACACATGACCATCGCAGCACACACGACCATCGCAGCACACACATGACCACCACAGTACACACAACCACCACAGTACACACACGTCCATCACAGTACACACATGGTCACCACAGCACACACATGGCTGTCACGGTACACATATGACCATCACAGTACATGCACAACCATACTCATAATCACAGTACTTGCATACCACCACAGCACATGTGGCTGTCACAGCACACACATGGCCATCACAGTGTACATGTGACCACCACAGCACACGTGACCACAGCAGTGTGTGCGTGACCGTGGCACACTCACGAGCACCACAGGATGTGTGACCACTGCAGCACACACACGTGCCTGGCTACGGAAGGAATGAGGAGTGAGCGTGGAGGGTGCTCCGTGGAACTCGGGTGTCCACACGTGCACAGCCACACGGCACCCCCGCACCACGAGCCCAGGGTGCCGGGCGGCGCTCCACCGCGAACAAGCCGCCGTGAGAGCGCCATGCTCAGCTCCGGGGGCTGCTCTGGGGCCGGTTCAGCAGGCGACGTGCTGGACCACGAACCTGACACTGCAGAGGCCGAGGCACCCACAGAGGACGGCGGGCTGGGGGGCAGGCGGGCAGCGGCGGTCGGACCTGCAGCCGAGCCCAGGGAGTAGGAAAGCACCCGACTGCCACCCCCCACGCCTGCAGGGCTCAAAGACACGGCATCGAGAGATGCCTCAGACGGGGAGCACGTGGCACACAGACGGGGGAACACGTGTCACACGCAGACGGGGGACACGTGTCACATGCAGACTGGGGGACACGTGTGTCACATGCAGACTGGGGGACATGTGTCACACACAGACTGGGGGACACGTGACACACAGACTGGGGGACATGTGTCACACACAGACTGGGGGACACGTGACACACAGACTGGGGGACGTGTCACACACAGACTGGGGGACACGTGACACACAGACTGGGGGACGTGTGACACACAGACTGGGGGACATGTGACACGCAGACTGGGGAACACGTGTCACATGCAGACTGGGGGACACGTGTCACATGGGAACACGTGTCAAACGCAGACTGGGGGAGCACGTGTCACACAGACTGGGGGAACACGTGTCACACGCAGACTGGGGGAGCACGTGTCACATGCAGACTGGGGGACACGTGACACACAGACTGGGGAACATGTGTCATATGCAGACTGGGGGACATGTGTCACACGCAGACTGGGGAACGTGTCACACGCAGACAGGGAACATGTGTCACATGCAGACTGGGGGACACGGGACACACAGACTGGGGAACGTGTCACACACAGACTGGGGAAAACGTGACACGCACACTGGGGGAACACGTGTCACGTGCAGACTGGGGAACATGTGTCACGCGCAGACTGGGGAACACGTGTCACGTGTGAACTGGACAGCCCGTGTCACACTGGACTTTGGAAGGATCCCACTGACACAGCTGTCACCTCTGATTCTGGCTTCGCTGTGCCCCGGGGGAAGCCACAGTGGAGACACCGGGGCTGCGGGAAGCTCTGTGCCTGCTGACGCCGTCACAGGACCTCGCAGGCCAGGTCCTGCCTCCAGATCAGCCGGGGCCCGAGCGCCGGCCACACGGCACCAGGCAAGCAGAGGAGGAACCGAGCGCACGCCGGGGGCCCTGGTCCCGCACACAGAGCGAGCAGTCCCCTGCGATGCGACGAGTTCGTTCAACAACCGCTTCCCCGAGAGGGGGCTCAGAGCTCCCGCCCTCGAGGCGCCCCCCCCCCCCCCCCGCTCTGCTCCCGAGCCGAAGGGCGGAGGTGGGACGCGACTATTTCCTCGCACACAGCCGTCGCGGGAGAAGCACCGCGTGGCGGGGGGCGTCGCCATACCTGCCCTCGGCTGCCCCGGGACGGTGGCGCCCACCCAAACCCAGTCACCAAGAGCACGAGTCAGCTCCGGGGAGGCCGCAGGGGCTGACGCGGGAGGTTCTGGATTCGCACCCACAGCAGGGCAGGGGTCCGCGGGCAGAGCTGAGCAGGACCTGACTGAGGGTCCGGGGACAAAACTCCCAGCAGCACCCAGGAAGGCGCAGCGGCAGCGGGGCACGGCGGCTCGCACGTCCCGGAGCTGCCGGCCTACCTCCGCCCCGGAGAGGCCAAGGGGCGCCCTGGGGCCGCCGAGCTGCCTGGCCAGACAGTGGGCACTCCCGGGCGCGCCGCATGAGGTGACCGGGAGAGAGCCCCACGGGGCAGCAGCCGAGGGAGGAGCAGCCGGAGGCTCTGCCCACTGGGGGCTCCCGAGCGCCTGGTTCTGTCTCGAGCTGAGGCTGAGGAAGCAGCGTCGTCGCCAAGTCACGGACACCCGGAACGGCGGCGGCCGCGGGCTCTGAGGGACGGAGGTGCCCACAGCCCTAACACCCGTTGTCCGCCAGCCTCTCAGTGCCGGGGCAGTCCCAGCATCATACATGCCGGTGCCCACATGGTCTGCAGCCCCCAGCGTCACACACGCATGTGCCCACACGGTCTGCAGCCCCCAGCGTCACACACGCATGTGCCCACACAGTCCTTACAGCCCCCAGCGTCACACACGCATGTGCCTGCACGGTCCCTGCAGCCCCCAGCGTCACACACGCATGTGCCTGCACGGTCCCTGCAGCCCCCAGTGACACACACGCATGTGCCCACACAGTCCTTACAGCCCCCAGCATCACACACGCATGTGCCTGCACAGTCCCTGCAGCCCCCAGCGTCACACACGCATGTGCCCACACAGTCCCTACAGCCCCCAGCGTCATACACGCATGTGCCCACACAGTCCTTACAGCCCCCAGCATCACACACGCATGTGCCTGCACGGTCCCTGCAGCCCCCAGTGTCACACACGCATGTGCCCACACAGTCCCTACAGCCCTCAGCGTCACACACGCATGTGCCCACACAGTCCTTACAGCCCCCAGCATCACACACGCATGTGCCTGCACGGTCCCTGCAGCCCCCAGTGTCACACACGCATGTGCCCACACAGTCCCTACAGCCCCCAGCGTCACACACGCATGTGCCCACACAGTCCTTACAGCCCCCAGCATCACACACGCATGTGCCTGCACGGTCCCTGCAGCCTCCAGTGTCACACACGCATGTGCCCACACAGTCCCTACAGCCCCCAGCGTCACACACGCATGTGCCCACACAGTCCCTACAGCCCCCAGTGTCACACACGCATGTGCCCACACAGTCCCTACAGCCCCCAGTGTCACACACGCATGTGCCCGCACGGTCCCTACAGCCCCTAGCGTCACACACGCATGTGCCCACACAGTCCTTACAGCCCCCAGCATCACACACGCATGTGCCCGCACCGTCTCTGCAGCCCCCAGCATCACACACGCATGTGCCTGCACCGTCTCTGCAGCCCCCAGTGTTACACACGCATGTGCCCGCACGGTCCCTGAAGCCCCCAGTGTCACACACGCATGTGCCCGCACCGTCTCTGCAGCCCCCAGTGTCACAAACGCATGTGCCTGCACGGTCTCTACTCAGCATGGCCATGCAGGAACCAACTTGAGACGTGGCAGCCGTGGGGAAGCAAACACATGCCCGGCAGGACTGCACGCCTCACACAGCCCGGACAAGACAGGAGCCCGGCGGTGCCGAAGAGCCGACCTCTCACCCCCGCTCTCCTCGTGAGGACGGGGACGCCTGCTCATGCACACGCCCTCCACGTGCCCACGGCTGGGCCCGCGGTCGCCGAGGGGGCCATGTCACGGGGCCCCTGATTCCCGCCCCGCGCTGCGGCCCCGGCTCACCTGTGACAGCGTCGAAGAACTCTTCCTCGCCGTTCATGCTGCAGGGTGGCCGCGGCTGCCCTGGCGGGCGGCCTCCTACTCGGTCATCGCAGCCAAGCTGCAGCGGCAGGGCTCGGCAGGGCTCAGCAGGGCGGCAGGGCTCAGCAGGGCTCGGCAGGGCTCAGCAGGGCGGCAGGGCTCAGCAGGGCTCGGCAGGGCGGCACGTCACGCCATGGACCTCTCCTCGGGAAGAAGCCGGCCGATCCTGCAGGTGTAAGGGGAAACACTTGACACACTCAGCTTCCAGAAGGGTCCCGGTTTACAAACGCTTTTTTTTTTTTTTTTTTTTTTTTTTTTTTTTTTTTTTTTTTTGACAGGCAGAGTGGACAGTGAGAGAGAGAGACAGAGAGAAAGGTCTTCCTTTGCCGTTGGTTCACCCTCCAATGGCCGCCGCGGCCGGCGCGCTGCGGCCAGCGCACCGCGCTGATCCGATGGCAGGAGCCAGGAGCCAGGTGCTTTTCCTGGTCTCCCATGGGGTGCAGGGCCCAAGCACCTGGGCCATCCTCCACTGCACTCCCTGGCCACAGCAGAGGGCTGGCCTGGAAGAGGGGCAACCGGGACAGAATCCGGCGCCCCGACCGGGACTAGAACCCGGTGTGCCGGCGCCGCTAGGCGGAGGATTAGCCTAGTGAGCCGCGGCGCCGGCTCTACAAACGCTTTTTAAACACCCATACGCCACTCCTGAAATCAATCCCAACGACATCTAAGCAAAGAAATGAATGATCTCACGATGCACACGCGACTTCAAGGTCAATCAACGATTCAGGAGGTCATCACCACTTGGGGGCTGCACCCCAGAGCAACAGGTGGGAGGAGACGTTCATCTGGGAGCGGAGGGCAGGTGCAGGACGCAGCGCCCCCAACAGCCCCCGAGTCTCCCCAGAACCTCGGTCACTGCTCCACACCTGCCTCCAGCAGCTGCCACTCCCACGCGTACAGATCAGCTGCCGCAGCATAAACTGGGTACGCGTCGTTCTCCCGAAGTCCTCTTCAATGTGACTTCAGCACGTGGGCCCTACCGGGAAGGTGCGAGGGCCCGGACAGCCCCGGGGAGGACCCAGGGCCACAGAAGTGAAGACAAACGAGCACAGGACAACAGTGGACAGGCCAGCCGGCCCCTCCTCCCTCCCCACTTGCAGAGCCCAGAAAGGCAGCAGCTGCATCGGTCGCACCCTGCTTCTTCCCTTTCCCTCCTCCTCCCCTCCACATGCCCAAGGGGGGAGGAACAAGGGATTCTGGGAAGCCTGAGCCTCCCCCATAACAAGGGATTTAATTCCCAGCACCACCTTCTGTGTTGCCCCACCATAAACTGTCATTAAGAAACAAACCAAATTTTTCCCATTTAAAAAGAAAAAAAGAAATCGGGCCCCTCACTAAGCGATGCCCTGCATTGCCTGCGCACTGGAGGGGCCCAGCAAGAGACCCCCGCCCCAGGCAGGTCTCGGCCTTGCACCCCAGCCTCCAGCACTGTCAGAAACACATCTCCAACCAAGTAACAAAAAAGGCAGGGTGCAGCAGGTCAAACCACGGCCTGTGACACTGGACCCATCTGAGTACCAGTTTAAGCCTTGGCTGTCCACTTCTGACCCAGCTCCCTGCTGTGGCCTTGGAAAGCAGGGGAGGACGGCCCGAGTGCTTGGGCCCCTGCACCCACGCAGGACACTCGGATGGAGTTCCAGGCTCCTGGCTTCAGGCTGGCCTAGCCCCGGCCACTGAGGTGTGAACCAATGGATAGAAGATTCTCGGGCTGGTGCTGTGGTGCAGCGGGTTAACACCCTGGCCTGCGGTGCTGGCATCCATATGGGCGCTGGTTCTAGTCCCGGCTGCTCCACTTCCCATCCAGCTCCCTGCTATGGCCTGGGAAAGCAGTGGAAGATGACCCAAGTGCTTGGGCCCTGCACCCACGTGGGAGACCTGAAGGAAGCTCCTGGCTTCGGATCAGCTCAGCTCCAGCCATTGCAGCCAATTGGGGAGTGAACCAGCGGATGGAAGACCTCTCTCTCTCTCTAATTCTGACTTTCAAAGTAACAAAATAAAGAAGGAAGGAAGGAAGGAAGGAAGGAAGGAAGGAAGGAAGGAGGGAAGGAGGGAAGGAGGGAAGGAGGGAAGGAGGGAAGGAGGGAAGGAGGGAAGGAGGGAAGGAGGGAAGGAGGGAAGGAGGGAAGGAGGGAAGGAGGGAAGGAGGGAAGGAGGGAAGGAGGGAAGGAGGGAAGGAGGGAAGGAGGGAAGGAGGGAAGGAAGGAAGGAAGGAAGGAAGGAATTAACTGGTCACCTCCGGATGACGCCAGGAGACTCCTGGCCCCTGCCCTGCCTCCCGCACCATCTGTGCCCTGTGTCGCCAGGTGATGAGCAGATCTCACTTGACAGAAGGGCTCCCGCAGATCAGAGGAGGACCCAGAGTACGCCAGGCTCATCACTGCCCACACAGTGGATGTGTGTCCCAGGGAGGACCACGGCGCGACCCACACTGGCTTCACCCACGCACGTCAGGGTGCGGAACACAAAGCCACACCGAGCCCGTCTGGGACACGGGCGGCCACAGCCAGCCTTACAGCCCGCTCAGCAGTGAGCGGCGCAGGACAGCGACGGGCGCGGAGGCAGGACTCGCTCCCGGTGCAGGCTCTATAAAGGGCACAACCAGCAAGACCCAGACGGGACGCAGCCCTGCTTCAACAAACAAGCTGCAGAGAGAGAGAGGTGGGATGGAGTGATGGTGTCACGGCTGTACGTGACCGTCAGGGCTGACCACACACTTTCAGTATGTGCAGTTCAGTGAATGTCAGCGACATTTCAGAAAGGACACACACAGGGGCCGGCACTGTGGCACAGCAGGTAAAGCCGCCACCTGCACTGCCGACATCCCACGTGGGCACCAGTTCAAGTCCCGGCTGCTCCACTTCCGATCCAGCTCTCTGTCATGGCCTGGGAAGGCAGTGGAGGATGGCCCAAGTGCTTGGGCCCCTGTACCCGCATGGGAGACCCAGAGGAAGCTCCTGGCTCCTGGCTTGGCATCAGCCCAGTTCCAGACATTGCGGCCAACTGGGGAGTGAACCAGAGGATGGAAGACCTCTCTCTCTCTGCCCCTCCTTCTCTCTCTGTGTAACTCTTTCAAATAAATAAACAACCCTTTTATTAAAAAAAAAAAAAGACACATAAAGAAAGAAAATGAAGAAAAAACACACAGAGTGGTGCTGTGGTGCAGTGGGTCAGGCTGCCGCGTGCGACATGAGAGTCCCACACCAGAGCTCAGGGCCGAGCTCAGAGGCCCACTTCCCAGCCGGCTCCCCGCCGCAGCTCCACGGAGGCAGACGATGGCGCAAGCCCCTGGTTCCAGGCCCCACCCGGGAGACCTGATGGGATTCCTGGCATGAATTCTGGATTCAGCCTGGCCCCGCTCCATCTACTGTAGCCATTTAGGGAAAGAGCCAGTGCACAGAAGATAGCTCTGGTCTCTTGCTCTCCGTGTCTGTCTCTGCCACTCTGCCTCTCAAAAAAATAAATTAATGAATCTTAAAAAGAAAAAATAGGGGGGCAGCGCTGTGGCACAGCAAATTAAAGCCCTGGCCTGAAGCTCCAGCATCCCATGGGGGCGCCGGTTCAAGTCCCGGCTGCTCCTCTTCCGATCCAGCTCTCTGCTGTGGCCTGGGAAAGCAGTGGAAGATGGCCCGGGTGCTTGGGCCCTGCACCCGCGTGGGAGACCTGGAGGAAGCTCCTGGCTCCTGGCTTCAGAACAGCACAGGTCCAGCCGTTGTGGCCATCAGGGGAGGGAATGTGCGGATGGAAGACCTCTCTCTCTCTCTCTCTCTCTCTCTCTCTGCCTCTCCTTCTCTCTGTGTAACTGTTTCAAATAAATAAATCAATCAAAAAAAAAAAGGCTACTCTGTGGAAGTCACGGAAAGCTCGACCAAAACTTGGGGAAAATCTCTGGGGTGGGGCAGAAGACACTGGCTCAGACACAAAGACGTGGCCCTGGTCAGGCAACTGGGACGCCTACAGTGCCTGCCTGCCCCGCTCCTGCCCCGCACACCAGGGATCCCACTCTGCAGGGCGGTGGAGGCCCACGGGCCCCGGGCGGGCAGTGCCTGGGCCTGGGAGGTCAGAGCCACAGCGTGGCCACCCCGTGAGTGCCCTGCCTGCCGCCTTTCAGCCTTCCCAGGGTCACTTCGTGCGGGAAACCCACTTGGCCACCTGGCCACTGTGCCAACAAAACAAAAGGGCACAGAGTCTCCGCTCCCAGCACTCAGGCGCCGTGGGAATCTCCGACCCGCCGGGGGCCGAGGCTGCCGCTGGCCACAGGTGCACTGTGGAGGTGTGAGGGGGCGGAGCCTCACGCCGCCTCCCTCAGCCAGGTGACGGGGAGTCCACTGCACAGCAAAGCCCGAGGCCACGTGGGGCCGCGCGTCCCAGCCCCCAGGGGAGGGTGCCAGGCCTCTGGTGTCAGAGCCGGGCCCTTCCAGCTCATCTCACAGTGCAGGCAGGCTCCCGAAACCCGGCTTGGGGACAGAGGCCGGCAGGCCACGCCCATCCTTTATTCCCACCCAGCACCTCTGGGCCTCGGCTGCTGTCCTTCAGCCCCGTCCCTGCCGGAGTCCGGGGAGCTCTCACAGATTCTGCACACGCCCAGAGCCAAATCAACGCCCCGCGTCCCTGCACCAGAGCCCGCAGGGAGAGCGGCGAGTGTGGCGCGCACCTGACACCCACTTGGCGCCCTGGCAAGGACTCTGCGAAGAGACCGAAGAGACCGGGGTGGCCTTTCTGAACACCAGCTCCTGCTCGAGCGAGACACGACAGGTCTGAGTGTCCGCCAAGTCTCGGGGGCGCGCTTCTGAAACAAGCCTGCCTCGGCTGGGGCTACAAGCAGTCCCCACGTCAGCCACCTGACGCTGCACACGACCCCAAGCCACGTCAGCTGAGCCACAGGCTTCAGCCGGAGCGGCCGCCACGTCCACACTGGCCGAGCGAGTTTAGCCGGCACCACGGAAGGACCTTCTGGATTCTGTTAGGGAGACACGCTCTGGACTGGAGAGGGCAAGCCCGCCCTCGGCCGCGTGGCCCGGGGGTGTACTCGCCCGCCAGCAGGGGGCCTGTGAGCACAGCCCGGGAGCCCACACTGCCCTGGCCGAGCCCACTGCCAAGACTGGCTCCCTCAAGTGGTTTTCTCGGCTCACCACTACACAGTGAGTGCGAGAAACATCGCACACTTCAAGGAGCAATCGCACGTGCAGGAGCGGCGCCGTGTG